CGGAAAATGACTAAATCTTACATTAATATGTCTGACTTAGAGAGATTCAACTCTAGCAAATTGAGGATATATATTAATCTAACAAATGTAGGCATAAATTTTTGTTTCATTAAAAAAAAAGTTTCTTGCTATCATATTTTTTCTAATCATGCATTTGTTGATTGTTCATGTTGCTATTTCATTCACTAAATAGTCAATACACACTTAATTTTTATACAAAGCTTTCCTAGTCTATCTCATATTTGTTCAAATCATTATTTTACATAATTGCTTCAACGCCATATTTGATATGCATATTTCTTTCTGTATTTTTATATGTTTTTGTAGCCACATGTTGTGTATATTTTTAGTGTCCTGAAATATTTAAAATACATTCTTCAAATTTTCTATGTATAACTTGTTAATTAGATCTGTAATATTCTTGATTCTTTTATAGCAGTCCATCACTGTGTTTTGAAATGTAAAATCTACATTTAGTTCTACATGAAACAATATTAGAAAATGCTATTAATTTCTTTCGAGACAATGTAAATGAGTATCATGATATCATGTATTTTTGTAGAATTTGTATTCAAGAAAGGTAACATTGACAAAAATAAATGTGCATATAGCAAGTGAACAGAGGCTAGACTAAGACCAAAATGAATTAATGTGTGCTATCAGCAACAGAGGAGTCGAACGACAAATGGGTCCCATAATGGAGACTCGAATCCATCCAAGAAGGATGAATGGCGATGATCAGGACTGAGGGGCGAGCTACGACTATGTTTTGAGTGAAAATGTAGTTTTGAATGTGTGTTACGAGTGACATGGCAAAGGAAGGGAGGAAACAACAAAAATATGACCCTTTTGACGACCTATTTATAAGTGGCAGAAATTTCGGTGAAAATTTCCTCCAAAATTTTTTTTCAGAAATTTTGCTACTTGAACCATCAAATTCTCCTTGTTGATTTCGAGGAGCCATTGATCGCCGAAAATTGCTATTTTTCCTATAGTGACCCCTATAAACATATTTTATTCAAATACCAACAAATTATATTTGAAGGAATAATTTTAAAAACTTTTGCAAACAAAAAATGTTGACATAATGTTAATCACCAATACAAAAAATTTCATTGTAGGTGCAAAATAAGCATTAAAATAAAGGTTAAAACCCTTCCATCATTTATTTGTAACTTGAGAAATGTTGTTTAGTTCTATTCAAATCATCCAAATCTAAATGTAAGAGAATTTTATAATTACTAAGTGTTAGATAATTCATAGTGATAGAAAAAGAATTTACATCTTAACTTGGCAAAAAGATCGAGCAAATACATAAATAAAAGAGAACAAATACTATAGCTTTTATGGAAACAATCCAAAAAAATGAGAAAAAAGAGAGGGTTTAGCCCAATTAAAATAATCTATTATATAGATGATGCTACAAAAGTCCACTCTTCCTTATAATTGGAGAAGGGATTATAAAATTCGGAGCACTTGCTTTAGTCTCTTATTATCTCTTATTGTTGTAGTAGAGAATAGTGGAGAAAAAGTGGAGAGATTGATGATGATAATTGAACAATGTCAAGAACATTGGTTAAGCAGTGGTGGTTGGGTGACAACACTTGGATAATATAACTTGGATAAAGAGGAATAGACTATAATAGCCACGGAGATCGTTAATTAGCGACAAAGGCGGGGTAATGCTGAGGCGATGACGGTGGCCAAATAATGGTGTTGACTAACAATGATTGCCAACATCGTAAGGTAGAGCTCTAAAATTCTTCATATATCCAAGTTCTCTTCTACTTTAAGTCTAAGCCCCCTTTGTATAAAAAATATAGATCTATTAATTATTTTGAGGGTGATATTATAGTAAATTCATCCAAAATTTAATTACATTCAATCAAAGAGCCAATATTAAATCCTTTGATAATATGTCACTCATTTAATATTTTGGTGTCTTTAAAACCTCAGATCCTAGGCTTGTTGGATTCATCACATCAAGTCACTCAATTTGATGATAAGCATGCAAAAATTTAAGGTAGTTTGGTCCTTTAATTAATATTTTAAAGTTTCTAACCATATTTCATGTGCCCTATTTTGACTCATTTGGACTCAATTCGACCACCTTTAGTGCTATTGGGTTCACCTTGTTTAGAAATTTAATTTGAATGTAATTTTTCTAAAATTGTAGTTTGAATTATTCTAAATTTAATTCTAAAAATTTGCAATTCAAATATTATATTGAGAATTGTGCTTGATCAAATAATATTTTTGTGAAGTATCGTTTGAATGTGCGCCTTCTCACTGTGTCAAACTTATACACATGCACGCCCTTGCATGCCTATATGCCTGCCCATCTGCACGAACTTATGTGTGCGTATAAGACTCTAATAGTAGCAGCGGTGGCCAACTGTTTAGCTAGCACAACCCAATATGGGTCAAACTTTGGACAAGAACATGCTAATTTCATTATTTTTTTGACATTCTAGACTCAATTTTGATATTATTGGAGTTCAAGAAATTCATTACAACCAAGTTCTAGCATGTTTGGAGATTTTGAAAAAGTTTTCTTACTAACTTTTGCTCCAAGTGAATGCTAACTTTATTGAAGACTGAAATTAATGTTTTGGGGATTTTACTTGGTTTATGACCTCTAGTAGAGGTCTACATTGACATATAAGAAGTAGTTGTGCCTAATGACTTCTCAAAAAAAAAAAAAAAAAAAAAAAAAAAAAAATGGGCCAAAAAAATAAAAAAAAAAAAAAAAAAAAAAAAAAAAATCAATAAAAATAAAAAATAATAAAGATTACAATTGATACATCACAAAAAGATCCATTGGATCATACATGAATTTTGAGGTAATACTCAACTTTAAAACTTATGGAATTAAATTTATTATCATCCAAACTTCCGTCAAACTTACAATTGAATTGAATATCTCGACAATTAACTCGACGACACCAAAGGTAGCTCGATCTGATTCAAATAAGCCTAAATGAAACACACGAAATAGGGATAAGAACTTTAATATATTAGTTGAGGGACCAAATAATCTCCAAGTTATACATTCTCATAATTAAATCGAGTTGCATAATGAGAAAAATCTAAGAGCCCAAGATCATTTATTTTTTACATCCAAAAGATGCTTAATTTTTGAATAAATGACATATGATTAAAAAATTAATATGAGTCATCTGATAAAATGTTTTTAAAATTTTGTTAAATTTATTAAAATACTATTAATAGATATCCATTTTTTCACATAAATGGGGTCTACACTTTAAATTAGAAAAACTTAAAAATATGATGAACTCTTGAGCGTTGCTCGATATTCGATGCTGAAGATCATAACCAGCCACTATCATCGTCTAATAATTATCATCATCAAACCATCGTTGCACGACTGTCCACATCGAACTATCATCGCCTAGCTGCTATAGTCCATTCCCCATCATCTATTCATTGTTATATGACTATTGTTGCCCAACTATCGCCTGATTGTCATCATCTAATCATTGTTGTATAATTGATATCATATGAATATCACTATCATCTCTCAACTAATTATTTCATCATAATTAATATAACTATAGGAGAACAAGCACATACTTCTCTAATTATGACGAAGAGCTGAATTTTATAATTTTAAGTATATAGTAGATTATTTAAAGTGAGTCATGCCTTATATATATTTTTTTCTCTTTTAGTATTTTTCATGTAAAGTTAGGATGTAATTTTTTTTATAGCCACGAATTTTCAGCACGTAACAATAATCATAATTTTGAGTGATGATAAAAGTATTTAAGGGGCTATTTGATTGGAATACTTTAAGGCATAAAGTATTCTAAATGCAGAGGTTTTAACGATTTTGGTGTTTTGTTGGATGAAAAATGAATTTAAAGTTGAGTAAATATAATATAAACCATTCTAGCTCTTTTTTGAGTTAAATTGAACTCACTCAGTTTTGAGCGAGATCACTTTACATCGCCAGCAAGCTCGCTTGAGAGCCCCCGACCACCTCCGCCCGCCTTAGGCCACCACCATCAGCCACGCACCCTTGGTTGCCACTGCCGCCACCCTCTAGCCACAATCATCGTCGATCACCACCATCATCAGCCATAGGCCACTACCACAGCCACCGGCTGCCATTTTTAAATTTTACACTACATTCATTTCACTTCAAACTAAAAAAAAAAAAACATTCATTTGAATTTACTTTACACTCATCAAAATAACTAAAAAGAATTCTTTTTACACTGCATTCATTTTTTTATCCAACCAAATATCCCCGAAATTATTCTTACTCCATTAAAAAAGTCAATGAAATAAAATTATTGAGGATCATTTTTTTTAAAATAGATCAACTAAATAATAGAGTTTGCCATATCCTTTATTTAAGGTGTATTTATATTTGTCCATTTTATTAAAATGATGTACCCCGAATCTAAGGATGTACCATAGTAATACTAGTGTCAAGTTTATAAAAAAAAAAATAAATAAATACAAAAAAGTTCCCCGAATTTAAATGTATTTGTTCCTTAACAGAATATCATTTCTAGTTTTTTAAATTAAAAAGGGTCTCAATTCTAAAGATTCACCTCCCAAACAAGGCGAATTATTACGTCCGGTCATCGATCGGTCCGGAAATCATTCCATACGTGCCACGTCACCCGAATATACTGGACCCCAGGTATATTTGAGTGACGTGGCACATCCGGATTGATGTCCAAACAAATCCAAACACCGGAAGTAATAATTTTTCCCCAAACAGTCTTTTTAATTTCTTACCGTTTATAAACCTCATAAGAGGGGCAAATTATTGCGTCCGGTGTCTGGATTCATCCGGATACCAATCCAGACGAGACACATAAGCAAAATACATCGGACCCCAATGTATTTGAGTGATGTGGCGCATATGTATTGATTGTCCGGATGTGAGGTGACCGGATGCAATAATTCGCCCATAAGAGAAGTGTTAAGTTTAAAGAACTAAGGAAGGATTATAAATGTTGCCTTATTAGTGATTACTCCACAAGACAGCTTCACCATCTCATATGGTCCCCAGCCATCGCCTTACTGAGCACAGCGTCAGTCATCTCTTCACTTCGATAGGCTCGAGGAATCCGAGACACGGTGCAAGAACGGCGCTTCACCGGCGTTAATGGGTCAAAATTTGAGCAACTGCCGCCTACCAGGCATTGAACAAGATTTATTCGCTGCCGTACAGTCCGGCGAGCTCAAGGAGGTCGAATCCATCCTCCAGCTTGATCCTGGAATTCTCCAGCGAAGCAGTTTCTACAGCGACCTCTCCGTCCTCCACATAGCGGCTGCGAATGGTTATCTCGAGGTTTTTCCTCTCAGCCTTCTCTGATAAGCTTCATCTTTCTTGGTCATAATTTCCTTGATGCTTTCAGATCCTTTCAATGCTCCTGGAGCGATGGGCTCACCCCGATGTCCTCGGCCGGCAAAAGCAGGTAATTGAGATAAAAAATATTTCATCTTTTTCAAAGAAGTTGCTGTTTTTCTTGGTTTTTTGAGAGAAAAAACTGAACTTTTTGTGATTTTGATCTGAAGACTCCCCTTATGCTGGCTGCAATGCATGGGAAGATTGCTTGTGTTGAGAAACTTCTTCGTGCCGGAGCAAACGTTGGTTTTTTTCCTAAATTTTTTCTTCAGCGTTTGGATATTCTCCATTTTTAGTTTTCGATGATTCTTAGCGTTTGGTTACTTATGTTCAGATATTGATGTTTGACTCGGTCCAAGGAAGAACTTGCTTGCACTATGCAGCCTACTATGGTCATTCAGATTGCTTACAGGCGATTCTACAGGCTGCGCACGCAAACCTGATTTCAGAATCATGGTAAGTGCCAAACAATTTACCTTTTGATTAATTCAGATTGCTCTGAATCTCAATATTTGTTTGCTCTTATTCTCAAAATTCAGGGGATTTTCTCGTTTTGTAAATGTAAGAGACACAAAGGGCGAAACGCCATTGCATCTTGCTGCGAAGCAAGGTCGGCTGGCCTGTGTTCGTATGCTATTGGATAAAGGAGCTCTTGTCTCGGCTTCCTCTGGCAATAACGGGTAACTTTGACTGATTGCTTAAGTTAAGGCAGAAAGATTAATTTTTAGTTTCTCATTGAAAAAAAAGAGGTGAAAATACGTAAATTTTAATTTTTGGTTTGAAAACTAGTCTGATCATTAGTGGTATAAGGGCGTCTCCAGCCGAACTCCAAAAGACCGTAAGGTGTAGCTGCTTTGCTCCATTTGAACAACAAAAAAAGGCTAATTGGTGGAGGGTGAATAGTATATTGACGTGGCACTGTTCACCCACGCAATTTTTCTGTTTCAATCAGATTTGTCGAAGAAACCCGCGCAAGAGGAGAAAGACCATTAACTTCTCAGAAGCGCACAAAATGGAGCTTCATTGGAGATGAATCATAACATTTTTAAGCTTCACTGCATTTTGGAGTGAAAAATGAGATTTTTAGTTGGAGATGCCTTCTACAACTTCACTCCTGAAACTAAACTAAAAAATGGTGTGATTCATCTCCAATCAAACTCCATTTTTTCTCTTTCGTGCGTTTCTTGGGCAAATCCGGTAGAGACAAAAAAATAACGTAGGCGAATAGTTGCATCGCACTGTTCACCCGCTAACAAATACGGAAGTTTTGCTGGAGCTCGCTAGCGATGACATTCATACGTTTGGAGTTCCATTGGAGAAGTCCTAAGGGCATCTCCAACCGAACGGCAAACACTTGTTTGCCGTTCTTGCTTTGCTCCAACCGATCGCCATTTTTGCCGCCTTTTCATCGCGGATGAACAGTGATTTTCGGTTGGAGATGCCCTAAGAGCCTGAGTAGCCGACTGTTCGGAATCGCACGATTCATGTGAATGGTGCCTCTGGAAGCACTTGGGTGCTTTCAATCATGGCTGAACAAGGTCCAATAGTGCAGTGTGAATCCAAAAAAAACTCTGTGGAGTTGATTGGATTCGTAGTTACAAATTTTCCGCTTAAAACAGAGTCTTGGCAGCTCTGACGTGAGGGTAGTAGATTGTTAAGACCCAACTTTGTCCCCTCTGTTTTATCTTCCCTAATACTCCATTGCTCATGCTTGCAACTACTTCGTTTATGTCTGAGCTTGCTGGATTACAAATGGCTGTTTGCTTGCAGTTTCCGAGGTCCCACACCTCTGCACTTGGCAGCTCGTAAAGGTTCCTTGGAATGTGTCCGTGAGTTGCTTGCTTGGGGAGCTGATCGCCATCAAACGGATTCCGCTGGGTAAGCTATGAAGATTGTTTTTTTAAATTTTTTAATTTTTTTTTAATTTTAATAAAAAATAACCATCCTTGCATTGCTTGTTGGTGCTTCAACTGTTGCTTATTTGCGTTTGTTTTTACAGAAGAACAGCTTATGTTATTGCATTGAGGAGGAATCATTTATGCGCTGCTCTGCTGAATCCTTCTTCTGCAGGCCCATTAGTTTGGCCTTCTCCATTAAAGATTATCAGTGAGCTTAACCCAGACGTGAAGCTTCTCTTGGAAAAAGCTTTAGTGGAGGCTAACAGGAAAAGAGAAAAGAAGATCTTGAAAGGAACGGTTTACGCATTATCATCCCCTGCTCATACTGAAAGCATAGATGATGATAAACTCGAGGTAGTTTTTCCCTCCAGCTTTTATGTTCAATTCTTGTTAGTGAAGTTAGAGCTGCTGTTGCTTGTCTTTTCTTGTAGTGTTTGGTAACTTCCATAATTATATTATTTGAAAGTTGACTCATAGATTGCCATTTTGAAACAAATTCAAATTCTAGCTGTTTTCTCCAATCCAAGTGATGATATAAACATGATTCAAGCTACAACTAGTTTATAAATAAGGAATAAAAAGGCTCATAGCTATAGGTTGCGGCATAAGATTCAGCTTAGCTCTCATGAATTGCATCCTTTTATTTAATGATTCATCTCATACCCTCACAAAGTGAGCTTGAACATGTTCTTACATGATATCCATTGATGTTCTCTCCTCCGTTGCAGTGTAACAGTATGGAGCTCTGCTGCATTTGCTTCGAACAAGCCTGCACAATTGAGGTGCAGAACTGCGGGCATCAGATGTGCGCGCACTGCACCATGGCCTTGTGTTGCCACAAGAGGCCCAAGCATGATACGCAATCTCTGCCCGCACCGGCCTGTCCCTTTTGTCGGAGGGATATTGCTCGGTTGGCGGTGGCAAAGTCGAACATAAAGGAGGAAATAGATGAGGGGAATTCCCCCAAGCAAAGGCGATTAAGACAATCTCAAAGCTCGAGTGAAGGAAGCAGCAGCAGCAGCTTGCTTTCTTCAGCAATGGGATCTATTGCAAGAATAGGAAGTCATGGTTCAGGCCGCATTGCAGATTGCAGTGATTTACTTGACAAACTTTGAGGAATGTTTACTTGTGACAATGCTGTAAACTTGTGTTTAAGTAGGAGAGTGTCATCCTTTTAGGGAAAGCAAGTGATTTCCTTTGGGAATGAAAGCTTTCCATTATACTAAGTCATTTTTTATGTTGAAATGACTTTTTTCTGCTGTCTTCCTCTGCCTCCCCTGTGGTTGACACCAGCTACAACACCATGACAAAAGTTCAAATTCCAGCTTCTCTAAAATTTCTTATGAACAATATCAGAAACTTTGTTCATTCTCAATTAACATCTGATAATCACCCCACTTGAAGAGCTCAAGTCATCGAAGTTTTTAAAGGTAATGGTTTCTATGGATTCCTTGATGGTACTACACCATCCCTCAGCAAATGCACCTTCAGCTCAGACAATATTCCTTCTCCCAATCCTTCCCAGAATCAATGGATGTTGGTTGATCAGAATTTAACTGCTGCTCTATACTTAGTTATTTCTTCTCCTCTTATACCTTATGTTCTCAATCTTGAAACGTGCCATGTTGTGTGATTAACCATAGACAAATATCTTCATTCCAGGGCTCTAACTTATGATGCAAAAATTTGATACATTTATACATTTTAACATTTTAAAACTATGACAGAAAAATAATTTGGTAAACACCTAAATCTTCGATCAGATTTAGGAACTTAATATTTTAGCACCTTATTAAACATCAACTCAATTGTCGATATACTCCACAATAAAATGGTCTCGCTGAATGTAAACATCGCCACATCATTGAGACTACCCGAACCCTGCTACTTTATGTTAACTTACCTTACCAATTTTAGGTTTATGTTGCTCTTATTGTTTTCTATCTAATAAATAGATTTCCATCAACTACAACACTACTTATCTCCTAATGAGCTGTCATACCACAAATCACCAAATTATAAGTTTTGGAGTTTTTTACTGTCAATTCTATCCTCTACTTTCATCCCACACCCATTAGAAACTAGCATCAAAAGCACTCCAATCCATTTTTCTTGGCTATGCAGCCTCCTCCAAAGGTTATATATGTCTTAATCTAATCACAGGAAAAGTTTGCACTGCCATTCATGTATCCATTCAAGAACATATATTTCCATTCAACCAATCCTCTGCATCAATAACAGTTCCTGTTTCCATTCAAAAAATATCCTACTCCTCTCCATTAACCTTTGTGTTGGCTCTATCTCCTCAATCATCACTACCTCCAGCACCTACTACATCCTATCTTCAATCTATTTCTTTCACCAACATTCCCACCGATCCAACTTGCTACACTTCAGCAGTAAAATACCCCCATTGGCAGCAAGCAATGTCTAACAAATTTCAAGCATTACAAACTCAAGGCACTTGGACCTTGGTTCCACCTCACTCTACTCAAAATATTCTTAAGAGTAAGTGGCTTTTTTTGAACCAAACTAAAGGAAGATGGTTCTGTGTCAATGTACAAAGCACGTCTAGTTGCACCAGGATGTAAGTAGGTATCCGGTTTAGATTTTACTGAAACTTTTAGTCTAGTCGCCAAAGTACAAACCATTCAAATCTTCCTAACCATTTCTCTCCAAAATAATTGGCAAATCTGCCAATTGGATGTATCAAAAGCATTTCTTCATGGGAAGTTCATAGAAATTCTGCACATAGATCAACCTCCGGGCTTTAAAGATTCAAAAAATCCTACCTATGTATGCAAACTCAACAAAGCCATTTATGATTTTAAACAATCTCCTCGATAGTGATTTTCAACTATCTTATTGAGCAGGGCTTTACTTTTAGTACTGCTGATCCATCACTTCTCTTTCTTTTAAAAAAATTCTATTTCCCTCTACCAATTAGTTTATGACAACGATATTTTGGTTATGGGTAATAAATTCATCAAACTTTTGCATATCTTTCTCGGCTTACAGGATAGCAGAACTGAAACATAACTATTCCTGCATCAATTCAACTATGCTTCGACCATTCTTCACTATGCAGGAATGACCATGTGTAAGCCCATCCAAAATCCTATTTACAGCAAACATGATACTTCGCCAACAGTACAGTTATCATTCCTTGATTCACAGTTTTATAGACATTTAGCTGGTTCAATTCAATATCTTACGATCACTCACCCAGATTTATCATTTGCTATTAATCAAGTGTATCAGCATATGCATTCACTCCTTAACAAACATTTTCAGATGCTCAAACATAATAATTCATTACATCAAAGGAACTATCCATCTAACATTACCACTGACTACAGGAAAGCAACAACTATATGCATTTGTTGATTCGGATCGGGCTAGAGATAAACAACATCGTGAAACCACCACAGGTTATTGTGTTTTTTTGGGTTCAAACATCATCAGTTGGTGCGCCAAAAAGCAATCGACATTGGCACATTCTTCTATAGAATCCGAATATCGAGCCCTCACCATTGCAGCAATTGAAATCATCTAGATACGTAGACTACTCAGTGAGTTTCGCATAGGTCTTCCACATCCGACACTTTTATAATGTGACAATAGTCATATCTCTTGCTAACAATTTAGTATTTCATGCCTAAAGTAAACTTATTGAAATAGATCATTACTTTATTCGGGAATGTATCAAATCAATAACAATCATTGCAAATAATTGACATTTTTACTAAAGGAATTCCCAACAAAGGATTTCATGTTCTTCGGGACAAATTAACTCTCACCTCTCGAATTGTTAATTTGAGAGGACATGATAACATTAGTGCTATAGGCAGCGCTAATCATGATGGCATACTAACAAGGCAGTGCTACAGCAGGCATCTCCAACATCAGCTGATAACAAACATATTCCTCATCAACGGTTGGATGCTCTTCTGGTTTGTTTTAGTACATTTACTTCCTTTATATAAATACGGATACATTGCAAAGCATAGGAGGAGGAGGAGGTATACATGATGCAGTGGTTCTTATCTTATACTTGAGATTTATTTTCCATTTGGATGCATTTTGATTCTTGTTGTCTGGGTATGTTTTTGTGCAGATTGTATAAGGTTTTAGTTATGTGTGGAATCTGATTGTGTTGATCAATATGATTATTTTGTTATCTTGGACCTCAAAGTCTGTCATGTTCACCAAGGGGTGTGGGGGATTTACCCCCGGCACCCAAAAAGTTTTTGTACAACGACGTAACACTGTGTACCCTAACGTCTTGGCCTGTGTTCCCGAGTGCCCTAGCACTGAACAATAGAGAGCAAGCACCACACCTGTCTAGATATGGCAATGCAGCTTCCCAAACCGACGCCACAACGCTGCGAGATGGACAGAACAATTATCTTTTTTATTTTTCTCAAGGGTTGCGTCCCTTGATGAATATTACCGGCTTTTCTCTTGCGTTTTTAATTAAAAGGTAAGAGCGAGAATGGTGCATGTGAGAAGAAAATCAATGAGAGAGCGAGAAATATGTACTTATTTCTTCTAATTTTCATAGTGTATTTCTTGGTGTGGAGTGGCTCCTTGGTTTTATTTTTATTTTTATATTTTTTCATATTTTAGGTTTTTTCACATTAAATCTTGGTGTCCTTTAATTTCATTGTTTTTACTTTCTTGTTTGTTTCTCAGTTTCTCTGCAGTGTTTTACTCTCATCCCCAACAGCTTTTATTAAATGCATTGAATAGGGGGGTAAGTGAGCCTAATTGATATTTTTTTAATATAAAAAATAGTGAGCCCCGGTCGAACTTGAATCGTTAACAAGCTGATGCGTCGAGCTTATTGAGCCACAAGTTTGAGCTCAAGCTCAGTTTGAGTTGGCTCATAAGCTCGTTGAGCCGCTCGATTAACTAAAAAAATATTTCTATTATTTTATTTGTATGTTAAAAGTAAATATTCCTTAAAAAACTAAAAAAAATTAATTTAAAACTAAATTATCGAGCTAAACATTCAAGTCAAAGTCAAACTTTTCAAATGAGCTCGAGCCTAAAATTTCAGTAATGAGCTAAGTTTAAGCTCAGAAAATGAGCTCTAATTCGAGCTCATAAAAATAAATGAGCTCAACTCAATTAGACAAATATCCGGTTCGGCTCAACTCGCTTATAGACCTAGATTGCAACTCTCTTATTTTTTGGAAGTAAGCTTTCATAAAGGTTAGATTATAATTTTAGGCTTCTTTTGGGAGGGTTTTATTAATGCTTTATAAAATTGTTGAAATGAAAATAACTTTTAAAAATTAGCGTAAAATATATCTCTCTAATATAAAATTTTATTAAAAGCAAAATAAAAAATAAAAAAGACCATTAATTTTTAGACCTTCTTGTTCATTTAATTTGTTTAATTATGCCTTACATAAATAATTGAATTTAGTGATTTATTTTATTAATATTAGGCATAATAAATAAATAAAAATTAATGGTGCGCACTTAATTTTTTTTTTTAATGATGTGCCAATTTCTTAGAAGAGTTCAGCGTTATTGAATTATTTTAATTTCCATCTTTATTGGCTTTTGCCCAGAATTCCATGAAACGGTTACATGTTACAAGTTGTGTTGGTTGGGTCGGCTTCAATTGGAAGAAAAATTATTCTGTGCAGTGTCCGGACGCATCCGAAGGTTAATCTAGATGGGTCAAGGCGAGTCCGGATTGGCCTACGAACATGTTCGGACACCGCACAGAATAACCTCTCCCTTTGGGACGTCTTAAAGCAGCTTTCTTGTAATTTTTTTTTATTTTTGTATTAGATAGTTTTTTTAAGAAGCAGTACAAAAGTCTTCTTAAACAAAGCCTTTATTGTATTTAAAGCAGCTTTCTTGTACAAAAGTTTTAATTTTTATACTAAAAAATTGTTTTAAGAATCAATAACAAAGCAGTCCCAAACTGAGGTAGTCCCAAACTAGGACGGCTTTCTTACTACTTCTTAAAGTGGCTTCCTAATTCAAAACTTAAAATTTCAATACTAAAAAGCTGCTTTAAAAAGCATTAAAAAAACCATCCCAACTGAAGTCTAAATCTAATTATTAAAGAATCATTACAACTAATTCTTGTTATTGCTTCGAATAAGAAAGCCGTCCAAAATAAAATCTTAATATTACAATTTTTTTTAAAAAAAAATAGTGTAATAAAAATTTAATGTTATTGTTGTTGTGTTGATTTCTTTCTCAACTGAAGAGAATGAAAGTATTAAAAACCAGCTGTCTCTGCAAATGTGGAATTACTGTCATTTTCTTTGAAATCATGTGAAGATAGAAGGTGTTGCAAATATGCCATTTGTATTTGTTTTTATGGAATTTGATGGGGAAACAGGAAACTGCAATGCAATAATACATAGTGGCATTAATGATGAC